TATAAAGAACGATTTTTGTTCTCTTCTGATCGCCTCTTTCTCCTTTTTTTTTTTTTGTCGTTGTTGCTAGCAGCACCCTCCCTCTTTGTATTTCCTGTGCCACGCTTGTAAAATTTGTGTTGAAGCCTTTATCTTTTTCTCCTACTTTCTTGTCATGGCTTATTTAGGCTAAAACCCAAATCAACTCTGATTATTTTGCTCTCGGCGTACAGACAACTCTGATTCTCTTGTTGTATATGCAGGTAAGGTGTTTGTCTTCTTCAACAGAGGTGTCGACAGATGAAACTTGTAGCCATCTTTACTGAACATGTATTTTTCAACTTTCTGAAATTTTCTTTCTTGTGTTTATTACTTTTTCTGGATAAGATAAGGATGGTGTCCATAAGCTGAATTTAGCAATTTTTACGGATGAGATTTACAGCTTTATCAGTGTTGAATTGGACAATTTTCACCATTGTTGCCCCACTATTATTCGGCACTTTACCGACCAACAAATGTCATATAATATTTCTCTATATTTTCCTGTGAATATGCTTGAAATCTATAGTGGAAAACAGATACATAAAATACCCATCGATTAGATTACTTTGGTTTTGTATTTTTTTTTTTTAAAACACACACAGAATAGGAAATAAAATAAAATAAAAAGAAAACTTAGAAGAATGGTAATGGTAGCATGAATACAAAATTTAGAGAACAAGGGTACAAATGCTTAAGTATCATCACGTACCAAAAACACATAGGGTTCAATGAATTTTACTTGAAGAACAAATGAGATAATAATAATAATAATAATAATAATAATAATAATAATTATAACAAAAAAAATGGTGTTTACAGTTAGAGCTTAGGCCTAACGGCTGGTCTATTTAAATAATATATTGTTATTATTAATACTGTATTGAATTTTTATTGTAACGTCTTGATAGTATTTATTGACCTATTTAAAGATAAGATTAATGTTTTTCGTGTTATAAGAGATAAAATTATCTCGTATAGACACATAAAAATGTGTGGAATTTATGTGATTTTAGGTAAAAAGAAGAGAGAAAAAGAAAAAAATAAGGGTCCAATATATCTTTATGTGTATGTTAGGAAATAAATTTTTCTCTTGTATCATGAGAAATAATAGACTCTTTAAAGATTCAGGTTCCTTAATTTACATAAAAGTTTATGCACCTTAATCTATTTAGAGATAGATCGATTGGCTTATTTAAAAACCTTACTATAAAGTAGATATTTTAATATTTTTTAGGTCAAATTAAGTATTTTAAAATGTCAGATTAATGCTTAAGAAGAGTTTTACGTCAATGTATATAAGATAAGTTCAACTTCCATGTTTAACAAATAAGTCATATTCCTTTAAGAAAAGACATGTCAACAAAATTACTAAATCAATAATAATTGATTTAAATGACAACAAATTTGTTCAACTCGAGCCATAGAATTGAAAAAATAAAGAGCCGCTTGTTATAATAAATCAAACAGTATTTGAACTACGCCAAAAAAATTAATTTATTGTTTTTTTAATAAAAAATTACGAATAAGTAATCGATTTGAAATTAATTACAAAAATATAGCAGTTAAACACATCCCATAGGGGCGTGACCGGTTGGAGAGAGACACGCCTAATGTTGGGCGTGACCGAGGAGAGAGACACGCCCAATGTTAGACGTGTTTCACTAGGTGCTGCCACGTGACACAAAAGCCAACATTTTTACTGTAAAACTTTGGAAGTTTTTAACTTTTGACTTGGGTATCCGAATTAGGTAAAAAAAAATTTGAATCCACATAACTTTTCAAGATCTACGTAATGACACCTCATTTGCAATATTTTGTCTCTCACAAAAAAAATTGAATTTACAATAATGATACCATAAGAACGTTTAAACAAAAATTAATGGACAGAAAACCACTGTTATGATTAGAAACATTCATAATAAATATCCTTATGATTATGGTAAGTTATGATAAGGTTAATTATGTATGTTACTGAGATATATATTAAAATTTTGAATGAAGAATTTTATGAAATTTATAATTAATAAAACATCTGACGGTGACAGAATATCGAATAATTTATATTAAAAAGTTAAGTGAGTGCTTTTCGTTTTATTTTGATTTTTAAGTTTTTGTTCTTGATTATAAAAATGTTAGATTATTTTTAGTAATAATTATAAGGTAACAAAGTCATGTCATTTTTAATAATTATGGTATCATTGTTGTAAATTCAAATTTTTTTTGAGAGACAAAATAGGTCAAATTAGGTGTCATTACGTAGATCTCGAAAAGTTATGTGGAATAAAAAAAAATTACCTAATTCGGATACCTGAGTCAAAAGTTATGGACTTCCAAAGTTTTACGGTCAAATTATTGACTTTTGTGACACGTGGCAGCACCTGGTGAAACACGCCCAACATTGGGCGTGTCTCTCTCCTCGGTCACGCCCAACATTGGGCGTGTCTCTCTCCAACTTGGTCACGCCGCATGTGGGCGTGAGTCACGCTTAGGTCACGCCCAACATTGGGCGTGTCTCTCTCCAACCAGTCACGCCCCTATGGGGCGTTTTTGACTGCTATATTTTCGTAATTAATTTCAAAACGACTACTTATTCGTAATTTTTTATTAAAAAAGCAATAAATTAATTTTTTTGCCTTTGAACTACTCTAATCAAATAAACAATAAACCAATGATATATATATATATATATATTGTAAAGAACCTTGGATTACACCACCTCAAAAACTAGCTCAAAGGGTGAGAGTGCCCAAGGCTTTATAAAGCCCACATTAGTTGCTCATACAACCAATGTGAGACTATATATCTCAACACGCCCCCTCACACAAAAGCCCATTGGGCTTGAAGAGTGGACAATGCAACAGGCCCAGCCTACCTGTGCTAACAATGAAATTCCACTTGAAAGAAAGTGGGGGGCGGCGAGGCTCTGATACCATGTAAAGAACCTTGAGATACACCACCCTAAAAGCTAGCTCAAAGGATGGGAGTGCCCAAGGCCTTATAAACTCCACAATAGTTGCACATACAACCAATGTGAGACTATATATCTCAACACGCCCCCTCACACAAGACCATTGGGCTTGAAGAGTGGAAGATGCAACAGGCCCAGCCTACCTGTGCTAATAAAGTCATCAAGAGAAAGTGGGGGGCGGCGAGGCTCTGATACCATATAAAGAACCTTGGGTTACACCATGTAAAGAACCTTGAGATACACCACCCAAAAGCTAGCTCAAAGGGTGGGAGTGCCCAAGGCTTTATAAAGCCCACATTAGTTGCTCATACAACCAATGTGGGACTATATATCTCAACATATATATATAGAGGTAGGATCCTTTGACACCGGTGTCAAATTTGAAATTTGACAGCGGTGTCAAATTTATCTCAGAGCCGTTAGATCAAAAAAGATTAACGACTCTGATTTGCAATCATAGGACACCATTGATATTTTTTAATCTAACGGCTAGAGGTGTCAAATTTAAAAATTGACACTGGTGTCAAAGGATCCTACCTCATATATATATATATATATATATATATATATATATATATATATATATATATATATGATATGTTATTGTAACAATCAATTAGTGTTACTACCAATCAATTTCACTGTTAGATCGATTATGTTGATCCAACGATTATATTTATTTCCATCTTTGTATGGTCATGATTCCCCATATTTAACGTGAAAGCATTAAATATGATAAATCATAACCATACAAAGGTAAAAATAAATATAAAGCATTAAATATGAAAAATCATAACCATACAGAGATGAAAATAATATAACCGTTTGATCAACATAATCGATCTAACGGTGAAATTGATTGGTAGTAACATTATAATAACACTAATTGATTGTTACAATATCCTTCCCTTATATATATATATACACACACACACGCGACAAAGTATGAGCTAATTTTCGATCATGGAGCACATGCTCATTTGAAAAAAAAAAAGGAAAAACAAATATTTTTGCAGATGTTGTAGAAGTTTTTATTTGCCATACAGAAAAACAAATATTTTTGCAGATGTTGTATAAGTTTTTATCTGCCACACAATTTGTACTACCCGGAGTATATAGGCAAATATTTTGACACGAATTGTATTGCAGGGGAACCTTTTCTTTTTTGTGAGAGTGACGGATGTTTCTGCGGCAATTGCAATAAAGTTAAACCCTAACTATAAAGGTGAGAAGAATAGTGTAAAAGTGTTATTTTTTGCCATATTTAGTAAATAATGCGCTAAGTATTTAGTGGTCCTGTAGCACTGCAAAATATCTCCACAAGGTAGATAAAATTAAATAATTAAACAATACTATTATTAATATTTTTTTTTTTTAAGGAATAAGGCATAAAAAGTGTATTAATATGCTATGTTGCCCCGATATTTCAAAAAACTTAACGTGTCGTATCCGACACTCCCTGACATTCTAACACGCTCCGACACATATAATATTTGAAATTTGATTACATATCATGAAAAAAATTGATCGATTTTACCAAATTGATATAATAAAAATTAAAAATAGATACCGAATAATTCTCACAGGAGAGTATAAGAGATTTTCAATTTGAAAATATAATAGTAAATATTTACTTCTTATATTTCTTGGCAAAATTAATGAGTATTATAAGTTTTGTTTCATTTTTTTGTTAAATTATTGAATATTAAATATAATATATACTATATAAATTAAAAATATTATTTAATATCAAAACGTGTTCTAACATAAATCTAATATTTTTTAAAATTAAAGTGTGAGAGTATCAAGTTTAATGTCGGGTCATGTCCCGTGTCAGTGTCACTAGTGCAAAATTGCTAATATATATTCATATATAAATTCACTCATAAAGATTGTATCATGTTAAGAATCGTTACATTTGAAGTTGTTACTGATTAATATCTTGAACATAGAACTATATAAGATTAACTTTTTTGAATTCCCTTCTTACACTTGAACTTGATACGCACAAATAAGCTTATCACACTTGTATCTCGATTTTGCTTCATTCATCTGAAGATCCTTCCCAGGGTCCTTTTTTTTTTTTCTTCTTCTTCCTAGGGTTTCGCATTTGAATTCCCTGTTTTCTTTTCAATTTCTGAGATTCTTATCGTGTTATTTCATTCGTCGGAGTAACAATTACATACGCTTGGCCTCCATGGTTGTAAAAGGTGCTTTGCACAATTTGTAGGTATCATCCCTCGTTATTAGGCAATGCCGCCATTTTTGTCCACCTCAAGGGCACTTCGATCCTTTGCATCGCGCAAAGGTGATCTCAGACAATTGATAAGGTCTGGCAAGAACTGCAATGGCCAGCTTCATTACCCCTTTGGCTTCCGCACTGGTTCTTCTTCTTCTTCTTCGCCATTTGTGGGAGCTTTGTGTAATAATTCTGTTCAAACGAGGCAGTTTCTTGGATGTGGAGATGATGGAGAGGGTGTTCTATCCAAAATTTATGAGGAGAAGCGCGTTTTGGGGTAACATGATTCTATCTAAAGCATTGTGTGAAATATGGCCGAATATAAGTGTATGAATCGTGTTTTTTTCCTTGGCCTTGTAATCATATTACTTTATTATTGTTTTCAATTTTGTAGTTGTAAGCCGATTCAATGTTTTGATTGTTACTTGTTAGGTACTCTCAAGAGCAATTATTTGATGTTGTTGCAGCTGTGGACTTGTATCATGGTTTTGTTCCATGGTGTCAAAGGTCGGAGATACTTAAACACTATCCAGATGGATCATTTGATGCTGAGTTGGAGATTGGATTTAAATTTCTTGTTGAAAGTTATGTTTCTCATGTTGAGTTGAATAGACCAAAGCTTATAAAGGTCTATTCAACCTCCTCTAGTCTAGATAGTTACCTTTTTTTGTTGCATTCATAATGATTGTTACGAGCAGTTTTTTTTGGTGATGACTTTAATTCCAAAATTGATGAGACCTATAGGCATATTCACGGAAAAATTTTATAATTATATTATCTACAACTATTACTTCCATTTCATTCATAAGACTAGTAGTTTTGGTCTTTAGTGAAAACATCTATTCTTGTTTTTTGGAAATATTGATGACTTATATTGGGTACTAAGCAAGTAAGAGGTGCTCTTTATCTCTTACAATTTTTCTTTTGGGGATTGGGGTGGGGGTGGGGGTGGGGGTGGGTTTGAGTGGAGTGCGTTTAAAATAGGCTTAATTGCACATTTCATCACTCTAGTTTGAAAAGTTGCTGCATTGCATTTTCTAAGATGAGCATTGGCATATGACATGTCGATTTGCAGAACTAGTTTAGCTCATCCATCCCCTATAGATTGTTTTGATGTTCGAGTCTCTGTCTATTTTGACGGCTGTTATGGTTTTGATCCTTCCTAATTGAGGATTGAATGCAGTGCATATGAGTTTTAGATTCTGTTCTTGTAAACCTGTGCATTGCTCCAAATAGTTGTTATCATGAGCACGGTTATTTTATTATTGGTTATACACCTTTACTCTTCATTTCTACCGCTTGCTAATGTGCTCTGTTGTACTTATACTATATGTGTTTTGTGTTTCCAGACCACCGTATCACAGAGTACCCTGTTTGATCATTTGATAAACATTTGGGAATTCAGTCCAGGCCCAGCTCCTGGAACTTGCAATCTGTATTTCTTGGTGGATTTTAAGTTTCAATCCCCACTTTACAGACAGGTATCAACTTTCAATCTGAATCTGTTCTCCTGAATTTCCTTTTCGGTTTCTGTATGCTTATTTGAGAAATTGGTTTTCTTCCCTCACTTTCTATTGTCTTGCATTGAACCCTGCATGTGATACATGTATGTGACCAGCGAAAACGGACTCGCAACTTTTTTTGAATTCTGCGTGTCGGACACGTGTCCGACACAGACACGCTCCGACACGCGGTCAATATTTTGGGACACGTGGTCAACTCTTCGACACGCTCCGACATGTTTTTCTGACACGCAGTCAACTTTTTCGGACACGTGGTCAACGCTCGGACACGTTTTTTTTTTTTTTTTTAATCTTAATTTTATTTTATTAACTAAAAATAAAAAAAAATCATTCATAAATCATTTTTTTCTATTATGAAATTTGACATAAAAATTAACAAGGTACGAAAAATTATTTTTGTTTATATTTATGTTATAATATTTGATTGGTTATATGACTTATTATGGACTGTTACATCATTAAATATAAATTATATTATATATATTAAAAATATTATTTAATATCAAAACCTGTCCCAACGTGTCGAAATATGCCTTTTTTTAGAATTAATGTGTCGGCGTGTCGTGTCCCGTGTCAGTGTCCGTGCATCATAGTATGTGACAACTCTTTAGGCCCACCTCCTTCCTTCCCTATCCGGTGATGGCCTAGTCAGTGGATACATGTGTTTGGTAAGAAATGTGTGTTTTTGCTTACCAGATGCTGCTGAGTAGCATTACTGGCATCTTGATATAACTTCCCCTCCAATCTACCCCCGCATTTATATTCAAACTATTGGCAACTCTACCCACTTCATCACAGTCAACACTGATAAGACTGTGAAGATGCCACTCCAGTTGCCTTGGCTTCCTCCACTATTTTCTAGCAATCTGCATCACAATCCCACATTCCAGCCAGAGCTCTTCCACTCTCATCTTGATCCACTCTTTGCCTCATGTTTGAGAACCATGAATATGAGTCCCTTGGATTGATTTCTGTAAAGATCCGAGTTTGGTAGGATAGGTGATATGCGTCCAGCATATTGTGCTCTCTAAGTTAAAAGAAGCAAGAAATTAATCATAAATGTGTGAAAATAAGTTCATATATGCAAGAAATATTGATTATTCCTTCTCAATCATTCTCTCACTCAATTTATGCAGTTTAATAGCAGGAAACACCAAAATGAAGTGAAGGAAAGAAGTTGAAGTTGCTTAGTCTCGCACGATTTGCGCGGTGAGTGGCGCAAATCGCGCCATTTGGTATTTTACCCCCTGTTTCTCCGTGTGATTTGGAAAAAAAAAAATTTAACTGGCCGGGGCTCCGAGGAGGAAGCACGTGGTGCTCGGCGAGGGCTCCTAGCAGCTAATTCTCCTGACTGCAACTCAGCAGCTCGAACAATCTGATCCCACCTAGCATCCTCGACCATCTCTGTATAGATTTTATGTGTCATGGTCTTGTCCAATGGTACATCTCTGGGCTCCTCTGGTAGAATGTTAACTCCAGCCTTGATACACAAATGCATAATCAAGGAGGAGTGTGCAATCCTATTCTTGCTGTTGCCATCCTGTATGACCTTAAAGATCCTATCAGATAGAACCCTAGCAATATCAAGGTTGCCATCCCTCATCAGCACATAAAGCAATAGTGCCCTCTCCAGATTTACATCTGTTACGTTTGTGGAAGGAATGACTGTGACATTAATAAAATGATGCCAAAAAGCTGCTTCACCCGTCAAATCATTTTTTTTCATTTTCTCAGGAACGTGGGCAAGACCAGCCTTTGGCTTCCAAGCTGTGTACAAACAGGTGATCCCTCGCCTGATAGTATCAACTAATTCAGGCATGTCCTCCATATAGACATTCTTTATATCAGTGGGCTGCATCCTATCGAAGAGATGAATGAATCTACATTCAGCAGTAGATACAAAGGAAGTCTCAAGAAACTCTTCGATGGCTCGGGGCTCAAAAGATACCACCTTGCCCCTCACCCAACTTTTCCTAGTTTTATCCACATCCTCCCTATTCACATTTGCTAGAAATTCCTTCAAAATAGTGCACGGGCTGGGCTCAGCAAAAGTGACCAGCTTCTCCCACTTTCTCATTCTTATCACTTTCAGAATGGGAGAATCTTCAGGAAGGTTCTCCAGATCAATCTTCCTTTCTGGAATGATTTTCTTAGGCCAGTACCAGTTTTCATATCTTTGCTGGCACTCCGATGAGAGGAACCTACTCTCATTAAAGGCATAGTGCCTAGGCCTCTTGCTGCCAGATGCAGCTGTGTTCTTCTTTTGGCCACCCTGGGTGCCTTTCTTGTTAACCTGTTTTCCCTGAAACTCAGAAAAGTCCGACCAATATATTGCAAAATAGAATCAATACATTTCTCAATTACAATGATCAGTCAAGGACAATTCCCAGATTTAAATTCAAGACAAGGTTCAATTTCAATCATTCGGAATCATGTAGAAATCATTTCCATGCATTTAGTTAATGATCAAGGATTTAATTCATAGCTCATCCAAATCAGAGAATTCAACATGTGGCCAGACTTTATCAAATTCATAGCAATCCTTGCATAAAGATGACAACTTCATGTGTATAAATTGGCCTTGATAAAACACAGATCATTAAAGCCAGCTGGCGCGAGAGTCTGCGCGATTTGCGCGAGTTGGGAAACATGTAATTCAAACCCAGCCAGCGCGATCTGCGCCAGCCATCGCGCGATCCGCGCGGGCTGGGGAATGGACAAGTTTATGCAAACCCAGCCAGCGCGATCTGCGCCAGATATCGCGCGATCTGCGCGGGCTGGGCAGTGTTGAAGAACTTCAAGAGTTCTTTAGACTAACCAACAACCAAACAAGCATCTCACTATAATTGTACCCAAGATAAAGAACAACGTGTCTGTGAATATTAGGGTTAGAGACTTACCTTCTCTCCAGCCATGGATGCAAGAATGAGATATAGTTGAAGAATAAACTTTGAATTTAATTTGTCCCAAGATCGCGGCAAGAATGTTTCTACCTTTGATTTGCAAGAACTTGGGATGCAATGTGTGTAATCCAAGGTTATGGAGAAGGTATTGGGGAAACGAAACGGTTGAGAGCGTTTGAGATATGGGGCGCGACTGTGGAAATTTGAAATGAGTGGGTTAGGGGGTTTTTATATTTTCACTTTTGTAACCGCACCTTCGCGCGGTTTGCGCGAGATTCCGCGCAATTTGCGCGATGAAACATAAGCTTTCAAGGCAAATGGCCCGGATTGCGCCAGGTTCCACGCATTTTGCGTGAAGATACAGTGGGTATCACTGAAAATTCGCGCATTTCGCTCCATGTTCCGCGCGATTTGCGCGGTGCTCTGTTTTTCCTTGACTAAAAAAAAACTAACTATTTCCTAAAACTTAAAAGACTCAACAGAAATATAAGAAAATAACTGAAAAGTTTTGGGTTGCCTCCTAACCAGAGCTTGTTTAACGTCACGAACCTGACGCAGACTCTTTAAGTCTCAGGTGAAAGTAAAGGAACAGCAACGGTGTCCCTATGTACTTCTTCTCCATGATATGTCTTCAATCTACACCCATTGACCTTGAAAGGTCTTTCAGTGTTGAGAGGGAAAATCTCAACTGTACCATATGGAAATACTTTCTTAACAACAAAAGGACCAGACCAACGAGACTTGAGCTTACCTGGAAACAACCTCAGTCGAGAGTTGTATAGTAATACCTGTTGTCCTGGCTCAAACTCTTTTGGTTGAATCTTCTTGTCATGCCACTTCTTTGTCTTCTCTTTGTAAATTCTGGCATTCTCATAGGCTGCTAACCTGAACTCATCTAACTCATTTAATTGCAGTAATCTTTTATCATTAGCTCTTGATGGTTCAAAATTCAAAAATTTAATAGCCCACAAAGCTCTATGTTCTAGTTCTACAGGAAGATGACAAGACTTACCTGCAAAGAACCTTGGGATACACCACCCCAAAAGCTAGCTCAAAGGGTGAGAGTGCTCAAGACCTTATAAACTCCACATTAGTTGCACATACAACCAATGTGGGACTATATATCTCAACACGCCCCCTCACACGAGAGCCCATTGGGCTTGAAGAGTGGACAATGCAACAGGCCCAGCCTACCTGTGCTAAGAAACACTACAAGAGAAAGTGGGGGACGGCGAGGCTCTGATACCATGTAAAGAACCTTGGGATACACCACCCCAAAAGCTAGCTCAAAGGGTGGAAGTGCCCAAGACTTTATAAACTCCACATTAGTTGCACATACAACCAATGTGGGACTATATATCTCAACATTACCATACACCAGTTGGAATGGTGACATACCTATTGGTGTTTTGAAAGCAGTCCTGTATGCCCAGAGTGCATCATCTAGTTTCTTAGCCCAATCCTTCCTTGAGTTGCCCACAGTCTGCTCCAGAATCCTCTTCATCTCTCTATTTGAAATCTCTACTTGTCCACTGGTCTGAGGATGGTATGGTGTAGCCACCTTGTGAGTGACGCCATACTTTGTAAGCAAGCTTTCAAACTGCTTATTGCAGAAGTGAGTGCCACCATCATTGATGATTGCTCGAGGAACTCCAAAGCGGGTGAATATATTCTTCCGTAAGAAAGAAACTATCACCTTTGCATCATTAGTAGGCAAAGCAATTGCTTCTACCCACTTGGACACGTAGTCTACAACAACTAAGATGTATTGATTAGAATATGACTTAGGGAATGGTCCCATAAAGTCAATTCCCCAAACATCAAACAGTTCCACCTCCAATATGCAGTTGAGGGGCATCTCATCTTTACGGGATATGTTTCCTGTCCTTTGGCACTTATCACATTTCTCCACAAACTCTCGTGCATCCTTGAAGATTGTAGGCCAATAATATCCACTTTGCAGCACCTTCTGTGCAGTTCTGTTGCCTCCAAATGTCCTCCATAGTCAGATGCATGACAATGCCACAGAATATCGGCACTTCGAATTCAGCAACA